AGCTATGTCCACTTAGGTGAGAGTTGCTCCTATAGAGACACACACCCACGTAGGTGGTCGTTGCAATTCAAATGTCTCCTTCAAAGCCCAAGCGCGCGCTGTATATAGGATGACGCTATCGAGTGTTTGCCCGAGTGGTTAAGGGGGTGGACTTAAGATCCACTGGACACGGTCCGCGTGGGTTCGAACCCCACAGCACTCAAGCTATGTCCACTTAGGTGAGAGTTGCTCCTATAGAGACACACACCCACGTAGGTGGTCGTTGCAATTCAATTTTCTCCTTCGAAGCCCAAGCGCACGCGCTGAGTATAAGCCAGCTCTATCGAGTGTTTGCCCGAGTGGTTAAGGGGGTGGACTTAAGATCCACTGGACACGGTCCGCGGGGGTTCGAGCTCCACAGCACTCAAGCTATGTCCACTTAGGTGAGAGTTGCTCCTATAGAGACCCACACCCACGTAGGTGGTCGTTGCAATTCAATTTTCTCCTTTGAAGCCCAAGCGCGCTGGATACAAGCCAGCTCTATCGAGTGTTTGCCCGAGTGGTTAAGGGGTGGACTTAAGATCCACTGGACTCGGTCCGCGTGGGTTCGAACTCCACAGCACTCAAGCTATGTCCACTTAGGTGAGAGTTGCTCCTATAGAGACACACACCCACGTAGGTGGTCGTTGCAATTCAAATGTCTCCTTCAAAGCCCAAGCGCGCGCTGTATATAAGCTGTCGCTATCGAGCGTTTGCCCGAGTGGTTAAGGGGGTGGACTTAAGATCCACTGGACACGGTCCGCGTGGGTTCGAACCCCACAGCACTCAAGCTATGTCCACTTAGGTGAGAGTTGCTCCTATAGAGACACACACCCACGTAGGTGGTCGTTGAAAATTCAATTTTCTCCTTTGAAGCCCAAGCGCGCTGGATACAAGCTGGCGCTATCGAGTGTTTGCCCGAGTGGTTAAGGGGGTGGACTCGAGATGCATTGGACAACCCTGGACAGTGCACCGCTGGACAGTTGTCTCGCTATCCACTGCCGAAAACGGTGGATAGCGGGGAGCAAGCTCGTAAAGATATTCCTGTGTAAGTCTAAATGATGATGACTGGGAGGAGTTCGCATGCGACGCTCGCGAGTATCTTCCTTTTGAACTTCGACGGTAACTGTAATACCCCGGCCTTCATTAACTCAAGCCCTCTAGAATGTCCAACAGCGAAGTCAAGGCATTAGTAATCGCACCACATGCAAAAATATCAAACTTTCGATGCTCATCAAGTGATCACGTGCAAGAGCACGAACCGAATGGATTCTTCTTCCCATTCGTTCGTTGAACACTTGGAGTTCGACCGCTACCACCGATTTGAAAACCTGCAAAGAAAGGCAGGATTAAAGCACAGGCTGTGCTGCGAAGCAATTCGATGCACAAGTAAATGATACGTGTGACCAGTATTATTTTCCTTTCGAAAACGTCGCACACTACAGGATTTTCTGCTGCGTTCGGATAGCACTCACCCCGGGGTGGGTGAGCGGCAGCTACTGATGATGTGTGATGAGTGTCCGAGCTTGCAGAATCAACGCCCGCTGCTGAAGTTGGAGCTTTGCCCAGACTAGCCGTCGAATACTCATTTATATCTGCCAACCAACAATCTCCACGTCACTATACATACCCCAAGGAGCAATCGACGGACTGAAACATACGTTGGACGCTCTGGTGGTTGCGATGGGCACCCTTTGCGAGGAACTTCTCTCCCAATGCCAGAAATGCATCTTCGATGTTCAGGTTTGCGCTCACGCAGGTCCGATACAACTGAACAGAGTCCGTCGATTCGATTATAAACAACAACAGCGGATAAACCCCACCGGTATCCGAAGCTTTCGTGAGAGAGACTCAGCCTCTTGTGCTGTGAACACAGCTTGATCTATGAGGTCAACCTGAGAAGCCAAAACTTATAGGGTGCTTTCCTCCGTCCATTATGAGAATCGAATCGACTTCAGAAATCCCACGCCCTGAGAGCCTACTTTAGTTTGGACCAGTAGCATGATAATTTGTCCACACTCATCGACGATCTTCTTGTGCCAAGACTCGACAGCTTCAAATGAAGCTCGATCAACAGTGGAGAAGGCGATGATCGCAGCTCCTGCTCCCTTATAGTACCTTATCTAGTACTCCCAATAGAAGTGCCCTGCCTTTGTCCTCACCCTCTAGTGATAGCGTCATACTCTTCCTGACCAGCAGTGTCCCACAGAAGAAACGTGAGCTCCTCTCCTGCCGATTCAATCCACATGCGCTTCTCCAGAAAGTCCACCGCTAGCGTCTTCTTATATCTGAAGGGAACCGAGGCCTCAGTGAGGACACCACACGCCGAGGCTACTCCTGCGTATAAACACCCCGTGCGAACCGCGTGATCATTGAGGTTTTCCCCACCTGCCCGTTACCAACTACAATGACCTGACCAGGGACCACTCTGTGCATGCCGACCGTATGAGCACACCTTCATGGAAAGATCCATATCTTCTTCGATCATCATTGCAATGGGAAAATATGACAACTTCTGAAGTATGACCACATATGTAAGTAACACCAGAGACTGTCTTCGAGACGCAAGAAATGGCTCACAGTGAATGTAACTTGGAATTAACAATATGACAATAATTACTCCAAGGATGGAGAACCGTATGGGGCAGAAGAGTGAAACATGTCAGGTAGTCGCCATCACCATGGAGCCTCCTGAAATGCTCTGCACACTTGAGGAACCTGATGTGATACACATCATACAGTTACCTCGAACCAATGAGCCCCACTGAACCGAAGCAGATGCCTTCCCCTATGGGCTCTCGACCTCTCCAGACCAACCTCAACAGGGGTACGAGCCACCATAGATCAGGACGATCGACCTACGCACCTTTCCCAAATCCGGACTAATGCGAACAGTGCCCCCCCCCCTTGAGCGGAGCGATCTGGCCAAAACCCAAGACCTCGTTCCCCCAACTCTTGACGATCACGACTTCATGTAACCACACAAGATAGAACAAGACGAGGGCGCTGACCACCGACTTTACGATGGTGCTGAGGTTATACTCTTCCTTGGGAGCGGACATAGTCCACTAAATTAGGGTCAGGATGAAAAGTACTTTTCTTAGTCTAGTTCCGAATTGATGAGCGATACACCTCAAGTGCCGGGCGGTCGAGGTCAATGAATCTTCAAGTACGTAGTTGAGTACAAGGTTGATGATCTTGGGGTATATTTCCTCAGGGGAGGTTTCCGCCGAATGACGACCCATTTGCTCTTGCTAGCAACCCACCCCAAATTGCTGTGATACACTGTCCAAGGCTAACAGAGTACGCCTCTCCACAGGAAGGCGGGTACATGCCCCCCCACCCTACTCCCATCATCATCAGCTTATCACCTCTACCAACACTGCACCACCGATACGCGAATTGACCAACAAGACATCCCAGATCGACACATTAGAAGGAAGAAACAGTACGAGGGGTAAACGTAAGGGCAATCTACGTATACCCCAACTACGGTAGTGTGTTTATGAACGGTGTTTAGGAGGCCATTAACCCATACGAACAATACCCGACGCGATGAGCTTCTCTAGTGCGTTAGCAATCTTGGGATCCTTCATATACTGCAAGAGCAAATCGATCAAAATAGCAGCCCACCAATCAGCATCGTCATACTACCTCCATGGCCTTCTGTGGGTTCTCCTGCATCTGCTGGAGCACTATATTCATTTGAGGGTCCTTGAGGATCTTCTGGACCTCAGGGTCCTGCATGGCATGCCTCACCGTCTCCGGGTCGGGTGCACCCTTCGACCTGGCCTGCTCGTTAACCTACAATATCGTGTATTCCAACCCGAGCTTGCTGCTACTATTACCTTAGCAATGACTGCTGCTTTCCCATCGAGGAGCTCCTTATGAGATGGATCGATCTCCAGGCCCCTGAGAGAGAGCAATGCCCCGCCCCCCTATACCCCCACGGCCCAGTACTTCTCATAGTCTTCAAGTGCCTTCTTATAATCCTTCATCATGAAGTGCACTGTTCCCTTCCGACTGTACGCCTTCACGAACTTGGGATCGAGCTGAGCCGAATGCCGGTATCACAGACACGACACAGTCGGAGATATCAGCACCTTGAGACACTCATCGAGGTCCCTGAGGGCATCAGGGTAGGCCATGAGTTTAGTGAGAGCCGCTGCTCGGTTGGAATACAGCTTGGCATCGCTCGGATTGCCTGAAGGACCTCGCATAGCCACTCAATAGCCTCATCGTTGGCCTGTTACGTTTGATGGCCTCGTCGTACTCCTTTTTAGCGCCGGCATAATCAGCAGCTTTAAAGCACTCATTCCCCTTGACACGATGTTCATCAGCCAGCTCTGGATTGATGTAGGCCTATGCCAGAGATAAGATGCCATGGGAAGGCCCGTAGGCTGGTGGACAGTACCTCCCTCTCGTACTTCTCCTTCATGTGCTTGCACTCGTTAAGGGCCGTACGAGTATGACGATTGTTATCCTCAGTAAGGGCCTTCTGGTACATCTCAATAGCATCATCGAATCTGCAAGGGTCCATCACCACCCCTTCTTACGACTCCCTCCATTACTTATTCATTCGGACATAGCAAGTGGCCATTCGAACGTAAGTCTTTGCACACTTCTCGAAGGAGGCACCACCCTTGAGGGCATCATTCATCTCGTATCTACATCAACCCTGTGTGATTTGTATAGCCTTTAGGCTTACCGCTTGGCAAGGACGTCCCCCAGCAACTTGATGCACTCTTCGTATTTCTCTTGCTCGACCAAGACGGCTGCCTTATTATTATAATAGACCAGGTCATTCGGCTGGAGCTCAATAGCCTTATCGTAGCACTCTATCGCCTACCACAACAGCAATCCACAGACTGCACTGGCAGTGCCGTCCGTGACTACCTCGTCGAACTTGCGCTGCTTATACAAGGCATTGCCCTTGGTCTTCTCGACATCAGCTGCTGCTGAATCTCCCATCATTAGGGTCCAAATAATTATTCTCAAGAGTCCGCTGCTTCCTACGAAACAAATCAACATAATCGATCAGAATGGCGCGCGCTTAATCATCAGCGCGGTTTGGTCGACGATGTACTACCAAACCCGTGGTGGGGTGCTTCAGTTATTAATTACCCATGCTTGCAGATGTTCCAGAGGACATCTACTTCTCCATATTGGAGTTCTGCGTCTCCCTTGACCATGCCCACCTTATGGTATGCAATAGGAGCATGCTAGCCATCACTGCTAGCTGCTCTTACCGGCAATTTGTCGAACTTTTCGATCCCCCCAAAGACTTCCCGGTGGTGCCTCGAAGCCTTGGTGATTTACTAACCATGGTTAACCTTGCTCGACGTAGTACTGATAGTCTAGGAGCTGCCCGCGATGCATGTAACCTTGCAGCATCCCATGGTCTGACTAAGTTCATTAGCGGCCTCATCGGTCATCGTAAATGGGCCTATGAAGTGGTATCGTTTGGAGCCCTAACCTTCGCAGTGCGAGGTGGTCATCATGATACGCTAAGATTCATTCTGAATGCAGTGAGCCCTTCCGAGGTTCATTCACTGGTGAATCCTTTGAGTAAGCATTCGTCTCCCCCGTCACCTTTGGCTGAATGTGCCTTGAGAGCTGTGCTCGATCCCGGGGACGTTCGCACAGGGGAGATGGCGAAATTACTATTAGAGTGTCGAGCTGATGTAGTGGGAGACCCCGCAATAGAGCAGTCGTGCCCATTGCACTTGCTTGTACGTAAAGCTAAGGATGCTAAGAAGGGCGGTCACAATGACGGTTACTTGACAACCTCGAAAGTGATAGTGGGGTATCTCGCCAACCAGTGCGCTGTGGACCACCGCGTTCCTATATCGCCACTGGAGGGTCCTGGCGTTGAGCATCAGAAGCTAGTAGAAGTGGTTACCAAGGCTCTCAGTTCAGCATGCTACTGGGAGGATGAGACTCTGATTCAATGCATCATTGAAGGCTTCATGGCTAACGAAGCGTCCAGAATGTGGTTGAGAGCAGCTATAAGGGAGGCTCATTCACGTTCTAGAAGCGAGATCTTGAATGCTAGCAATGGGTATAGTAGTGGTCTGCAAAGCCGGAGGATTCTCCTTATGGAGAGCTCAGCTTGCCCTCTTTTCCTGGCAGTCACGGCTTCGGGCCCATCAGATCGGACCGAGAGAATTATAGCTTTACTGTTGAAAGTATGCGACCCTAATGTGGTATTGCCTTCTGGCAAGAGCCCTCTGTATTTGGCTTGTGAGATAGGAGCGTCTGATAGCATCATAAGGATGTTATTGTCGGGCGGAGCGAAGGTCGATATGTGCACTTGTTCGGGTCGCAACGCTCTCTTCGCTGCCGTTGAGAAGGGTTACTTTGCAGCTGTTGAGACGCTGTGCAGTACTGGAAGGTGTGTCAATTTGAGGCATATCACTCAGAGGACTAATGGAGGGGTGTCGCCATTCATGTTGGCTGAAAACAAAGGAAGACTACAGGTAAAACGGCAGGTTCTGGAGTACTCTGTAGTTGGTATATGCAATAAACTCACTCGCATGTGGAATAAGCTGGCCGTTTTCTCACAGGGATTGCTGAAATCTCAGTGTCAGAAGCAACGTTTGTGTTTTCAGATGATGCTGGCTATGCTGGAAGCCTACACCAGAGAAGCTCGGATTTCCATCGACATGTTTGGGGCGGACAGTGCTGGTTCGATGAGCAAATTAGCCGCTACTGTAACCCATCCTTATCTCAATAAGATGTGCCATAAATATCGCGCGAAGCTAGCAGCACGGGGTGATTCACGGCATAGTCGTGGAAGGAGCATGCAGATGCTGGATGATCACAAAGCCAGGCCTAAGTCGGCAGCACCGACCATCAAGCTAAGCCGATTGACACCGACGAAGTTTTCACCGTTAAAGAGCCCATTGACGCATAGAAGTGCTGTGAGGGGATATCGAATGGGAAGTCGACCTTCACATGTTTATTGATTGCATTAAAGCCACTTCATGGTACTCGTCGATGTTGACCAAAAGGGGTGTTGGGTCCTCAATCACAGGGAGAGGGCACAGGGTTAGTCGAGGAAGGGTGGGATATCACTCTGCCATGTTATAATCCCAGCATAGGTCGGAGACATGTATAGGTGCTGCCCGGTAGTAGTGAGTTCCTTCCACATGAGGTTGTTGCCTCGTCAATCAGTAGTATCTGCTATCGCACTGTGTGTGACAGGCTGGTAGTAGTGTAAGCCTTTGTTTTTACCTGATCTTCTAATGAGCTCGTTGGATGCCGCAGCGTTTGAAAAGAAGGTCGATGAGATCAGCTCACGGATCGACGGCTTGATGAAGGGAACGGTGAGCTGAGCACAGCCTCTTGCCGTTGTTATGAATGAGTCGGTTGATGTAGGTAACAGTTGATGATATCGACAGGAAAATTGAGCATATGCAGAATGTAGATGCTGTGAGGAAGCGAGAGGCAGCTGAGAAGGCTGAGGCGTTGAGGTAGCGGGCATCATCTTTGTGTGGCTACCTTTTATGGTCAGGAAATACGGGAGGCCGGGTAAAGGCAATGGGGAGGGCTACGAGCTGTTCTGTAAGAAGTGCTTCACGGAGTATGCTGAGAGTGTGGACCGCTGTGGGAGATGTGGAAACGAGAAATTGATGATGAGAAAGGACAGGTTGGCCGAGTTGCACGCGAAAGTGGGTCACTGATTTCATAAGGAGGATCGCTCCATCAGCTTGCGGGTGTTTCGGTAGGTTGAGGACCTCCAGAGAGAGAAGGGTGCCCATGCATGGCGCAAGGATAAGTGGGAGCGTTGGCTCAAGAGTCGACAGCTCGTGCCGAGATCTAAGGTCATCAACTATCAGAAGTGGGAATATTGGGAGCCTGAGACTGACTCGGAGGATGAAGGTGAATACTCGGAGGCTTCAGGGCTCTGTTGATGTTGGTGACGCTGTAGGAGAACCGGTAGTTCCGAATGATGATCCCAACTTCAAGGCGCTAGAGATGGACATGCAACAGAGGAACAAAGCGCGGGAAAATAGAGCTATAACGGCCCGAAAGTGAGGCGGCTTGGACTTTCCTGATGGACGGATGCGGGAAGATCGTATTGGTCATTGCATTGCAAGAGTGAGTGTGTGTGTGTGTCAAGGTGCAAAGAACGGGGGAATGCCCTTCTGAAGGGCGGCGACTTGGTAGGGGCTATCGAGGAGTACGAGAGTGGACTAGAATACCAGAAGGATAGTAAGGCGCTATGGACGAACAAGGCATTAGCTGAACTCAAGCTGGGGAGGTTCGAACAAGCGGTTGATTCCTGCTCTAAGGTGAGGGAGGATGCGACCATATTACGATGATGGGATAGTGTTACACTCATCGACTAGTACGTATTGATACATTCGAGTCTGCTAATCGAACTGCATGGTCCGATCTGTGGGTCTTCTTAGGTATTGGAAATGGTGGAGATATTCGAGGATGACTACTCCCAGTCGGCCGATGCCTGCACTAAGGCTCTGTTGAGACGAAGTGCGGCCTTGCAGAATTTAAAGCGCTGGGATGCTGCTAAGTAGGGACCCTAGGGACGCGAGGTCCGCAAGTGGTTACGTCGTAGGTGTGATGCTGAGGAGGCGTTGAAGTTGAACGTTGCCCCGAGGGAAGCCCAGTCGGTCATTGAACTATGCGATCGCCATCTGAATGAGATCAGAAGCACTCGGGTCGATAATAAGGAAGGGAAGCACCCTATAAAGCAAGCGAGTAGCGATGTAAGCATCCCTTGCTGCGAGGGTGTGTAGACTGTCGATGGCTCGTTTTATTGTCGCAGATTATCAAGTCGTTTTTACTCGAGGATAAACGTCCCCCTTTGGGCAAGATAAGTGATCTCGATGAGTCCACGATTCTGGCAGCGTTGGCCGTAGACGAGGAGTCAGTGAAGAGGGTAGGGCTCCGCAGTGCGGTTGGGTCGGTCACTGGACAGCTGTAGGTGGTCCATTGTGGGGGTCTCGACAAGCTCTTGGAAGACTTATCGAGAGCAGCCCTGCTACACAGGAATAATACCATCGAGGACCCCGATGACCTCCGGGGCCTCGGCCTGTTGCGATGCTTACGGCTCCTCATCCGCATATGCGAACTATCGGACACAGCATGCGAGGCCATGTGTGGGAAGGCCGGCGCTCACATAGGCCGACTCACGCAATTGATTAAGTCGAAAATTCGCAGCGGAAGATGTGTTGCCCTCATGGCTGAGATCTCGGCAAGGCCGGGCCCTCGGAAGCAGCTCCAGGAGGTCCTCTCCAGGGACAAGAACGTTCAGGTTCTGGATAGCATCGTCCATAGAGTCGCCTGTCGGAAGCGGTCGTCGAGTCTGGCAGCCTTGTGTGTTCTCGCCAACTGCGCTAGCAACTGCCCAGCGTTGCGCTCTTATCTTCAAACTAATGAGGACCTACGCCGGGGCCTTTGCAAGAGGCTTACGGATGCTGCTACGATGGACCAAGCGGCTGGAGTTATCTGTAACGTTGGAGGTGTTGGCTTAGCGGAAGCATGTGCTCTACCGCTACTAAGGGTTTGCACGAGGGGGGCGAGCGAGAATGCCACTATGTCGGTTCTGGGCGCGTTGCAGAATTGCTGTACGATATCTACCCAGGCGGCCCGGAGTGTTGCCGAACAAGCCCAGGCTGAGGCTGTCCTTTGTGGAGTTGCTAGCCGTATGCCAAGCACAGTGGGTAGGGTCCTCACAATACTCCTTCGATTGGCTCAACTTCCTGGTGCTGCTGGCCTACAGCTGGGCCATGAATCGGAGGCGATCGTGCTCGCTGAGAGAGTGCTAGCAGAAGCGACTGACCCGTCAGTGTGTGACCCAGCATTGCGGCTTCTATGTCACGCAGTGCGGCATGACAGTTCGTGCTTGACTCCTAAGCTCGTGCGTGGCGCGGTGGATCTGCTGACAAAATTCCCCCCGCGGGGCTATGACGACCGCGATAAGACTCTATTCATGCTTCGGGGTAATGCATGCCTCCTTGTGAGTGCGGCAGCTGATATCACTCGCGCGGGTTCGAAGTTGTACGAGGATGATCTGGTCAGAGCCATCGTGCCCATGCTCGAGTGCCTTAGGAAACAAGACCAGGCAAACGCTGGCAGTGCTTTAGCCAAGTGCTCTATGGCTAGTGAAAAATGCAAGGATATTCTCAGGAAGGAGGGGGGTCTCGACACTCTGTGGAAGATGCAGAGCAAAATCCTGAGTGGACCAAAAACTGACGTCGTGAAAGGAAAGACAGCAGTCGCTATCAAATGATAGGGTTGTCGTACATGTTTGACTGTGGTGGATTTCATCGCAGAATTGTTCTAGTTGGAGGCTGAAATCGTCGGAGTCAAACTTGCCCATAGGAATTATCTTCGCTCAATGTGTGATGGTTAGAAGCATCGCTAGAAGGCGAGAAGTTACAGCTGAGATCGACTTTACTTACTCGGCGTTGGCTGATGTGGATGAACCTTTGAGCTCAACAGGAGTTGGGAGGAAGCTGGACGCTATGGGGTTTGGCAGCTTTCAGGTCGCAGTAGTCCTTCTGTGCGGAGGTAGGCATTTCAGGTCAGTGTGATCGATCTGGTCTACTATTCTGCGTGCTGTGGAAAAACATGGACGCATGTTGCTGATGAAGAGACAATTTGGGAAATTCTCTTCAGTTTTTGTATTGTATAGTTGTACCCCAATTCGTCTGTGACGCTTATATTTCGAAACCGATTCCGAGTTTCTCAGGCATATTGTTTTCTGAGGGTAGCCAACTGATGATCATGGGACCTGTCTCCATGCTCTTGGATGACCATTGGAGTTTGCCACCTCTCACGAGGGCCTTACTAGCCGCTGCAGTGCATCTGGGCTACTTGTGTGGTAGGGCTACTGTGATCACTATCTGTGCAAGTGTGTTTCGGCAGGATGCCTGCTCTCTGGCCTTATCGGAGATCGTCTTGGTCGGAGGCCCTGCGTCCTCATGTCGTATCTTCTCATGGGAGGGTTCGGCTTCGCCTGCTCATCTGCTTCAACTGAAGTGAGTCCATGAATGTGCCTGTCGGTTTGTGCTAGCGGTTAACCTGTAATTATTATCAGATGCTGATGCTAGCGTATCGCTTCGGAACAGGCATAGGGTGTGGCCTTGGTATACCTGCTGTGTTCGCCCTCCTCACTGAGGTCTCCCCTTCGAAGCATCGAGCCGAGGGGCTCATCATGATGGCATCCTCTGTCGTCTTTGGAGAGCTCTACGCTGCAGCTGGTAGGAGTCCGTGTTGGTGCGCGTCTTGTGCGATACCGTACATCCGCCACTTCTCAGGCGTGTTATTCGTCGACCCCCAGTTAGCCAAAAGCGGTGACCACTGTGACATTCATCTCCTCAGCGTTATGCAGGAGGCCGGTCATCAGGTATGGCAGCTTCCGCTTGGTGTGGGAGATTCTTGCTAGATCTGCTCCTGGAGAACTCTACTACAAATTGCCGCGGTGCCATCACTGCTCATGGTTATGTTCGCGCTCACTATGTTATGGGAGTCCCCGCAGTTCGTAACAGTCCGACATCGCGACTATCAGGAAGTGAATAGAATCCTGAAAGCTGTAAGTTATCGAGCGCGTGGTCAGGCAAGGTCACTTGTGGCCAGGTGCGGAAGTCCAATGGGGCCTATCAAGTACCCATAAGATTCACTCCCGACTCACGAGTCGTCCGGGAGCAGCCCTTCGTGAGAATGCCCTCCCTGAGACTTTCCTTGTCAATTAAGCCGTCCATGTCAGACCCTACGGCCGACTCCCGCTGCTCGAGAGGTATGTGCATTTGAGACAATGACTGGTAAACACTACTCCGGAACGGTATGGACGTTAATTCTGGTCACTGCATGCAAGGATTTCTCACTATACGGCCTTACTTACATTCTTCCACAGTAAGGTCTGTATTGGTGACTACAGTCAATACATTTCGGTTCTGTAGATATTTCCGCAACATCAAGACGATGTCGATCGGCTTGCAGCTGGTACTATCAAGTGCTCTGGCTGTTCCCGGTGAGTCTTTGCTGATCGCGCTCGCCCTATACAAACAATGGCATTCGACTATGTTATCCAACTAGGTCTCTTTATTGCCCTCTTGCTTGGAAGCTATCGCGGCATTGGCCACGTGGCCACGATGCAAGTGCTGGGGTTCCTCTGCACACTCTGTTGCTTGGGAATGCTGCATCTTTCTTATGCGCCAGGTGAAGTCGCGAGTGGAAACTTTTCGGCCAATAAGTTTTCTGGTCAGACTGGATGGGCACTGCTTCTGCGTACACTCTGAAAGGACTGGTCCTGGGGTACTTCTCGGTGGTGTCCACCTACACTGCCGAAGTATTCCCCACCAGCTGTAGAATGACGGTGATTGGGATCATCTCTGGTATAGGTGAGGTTCATGATGCACATTTGGGCATCCCATAGCTCTAGTATTTCAGGCCGTTTAGGTGGGGTAGCTGCGCCCCTCCTACTCGAGGCCTCCAAGCAATACTACCAGCAGACGTTCGACCTGTTCATCACGATGGTCATCATCCTTATGGTCGCAGCGACGACAGCCAGTGGCATCAACTTGATTTGGTAGGTGAAATCTCTCAGTGGTTTGCGGCACTTCTGGCAGCTGGGTTCTAGTATGAAACTCGTAGCTTCGCCCGAGGTGACTGTCCCTCAGGGAGACGAAGGGACTTCCCTTAGTATCCACGTGTCCGGATGAGTCCTCGGCTGAGCTTGATCATACCGCGCACCAAAGAGTCGCAGAAGCTCAAGCCTTGCTCGGTGTCAACGGGCGGGCAGATAAGAGAACTTTGTATTCGAGCGCAGCTACGAGCAGCAGCTCGATTATACAAGGAGCATGAATATGCTGATGTTAATACTGGTACCGATGCACCTGTGTTACGACGATGTTAATAGTTGTCATTGAGTTGCTTCGAGTATCGCAATGACGGGCTCCTTTCTAGTTTGTGGCAGATCCATCTGGTTACTTAGTGATCGTGACTATGTAGAATGTCGTTCAAAACGGAAATATGAAGAACTCCAGAGATAAAATCACTGAGCAGTCAGTCTGTTCTCTCAATCCTGTTGGACCCTCCAAGAAAAATCTGTTTGGAACTAAGTTGAAAGTGATACAGATGTTACTCATGACCTCATTCGGGAGAAGCTGTGTCAGAGTTAGTCTCCACCGGCGTTTCGGTGAGCGGATAAGTAAATTGCAGACACCAGCGACCACATTGGGCATGTAAATATAGCTTGACGAGCTGATTTCCAGAGCTGATTCGGGGGCGAAGGACTCCCATTGCAACAGTCCTGTCATTGTACTTAGGATCGGCATGATGTCGAACCTCGAGCCTTGGAAGGATAAATATACATTCCATTAGAAACTAACCAAGGTGCATCACAGAGGACGAGCACGGCTTTATCATGTATGTATGCGTTCCTCTGTTGTCCATACTCAGCGTTGTCACAAATCTCACCATAACTTCATACTGCCGTTGACATGCGGTGGCGGCTCTTCGAGTGAGCTGAACATAGTATTGCCGCGTCACACGTGTGAGGTATGATGCTCGATCACTAAGCCAGCTTCGTTTTGGTCTATAAAATCATGCCCCGGTCGTCTGTACAGCTTCTCCAGCCGCTCTTGGCCGCGGAAGCACCCGTCGCCATCCAGGATTTGGTGAACATTTATACTCTTGTCACAAGAGTGTTGTAAACTATCCGTAGCAATGTGTGCTACGTAGGTGTCCTCCGAGCGCAAGCCCCATGCAATAGCTACTGCTCACCTACTGCTCTTCGTTTCGCAGTGGTTGGCAGCAGGTAGGCTGGGACCTCTCAGAACTCCCTTCTGATCAATCTGAAATCATGCGGAGTTCCCCAGTCAATCGACTTGCCGTGTGAAGCGTCACACATGGTCGATTGGCCGTTCAGGAAACTACGTCTTCTTTCGGGCGTTCTACAACTCAGAGAAGGATAGCATAGGCTACTACTCGGCGCCGATATACTCCCTCATCAGAGGAGTTCTGGCGTTGGGTTTGATACCCCTTATCTACTCCATCAGTCGGCCCAGCTTAGGACAAGCAAGGCAGTACCCTCCGTGGATAAGGAAATCCTGTTGGGCTCAGATCTTCGCTGTCCCCACAACCGAGCAGAAGGCTGCACTGATCGAAGGCATATCAGGGTAGCATAGGATTCCTTCTCGCTTCAGCTTACCTTCAGAGCTGTTCGACAAAACTTACTTCCATTTGGCCTCATGTTCACCGAAGCCACGAGTGCAGGTGACAGCTATAAAATGATATGGCTAAACTCAGTCGAGCTTCTCTCGCGACCAAAACTACAATTTAGGTATCGTTCAACCATTCGTGCCGATTGGATCAACACTGATCGCGCTAGCCGTGGGACTGGAGAAAGGGAACAAACTCAAGTCACTCTTTGCGATATACGCTGTTAACCTCCGCATAGTAGAGCCTCCAGATATATCTCTGTTGTTCTGGGCATCGCTGGTGTCCTAGTCGCTGGTCGAGTGTATGCTATCCATGAGCTCGATATCGGTTTCCTCATACTATTGGCAGTTCCTCTCACGAAGGCCGCACAGGTTCGAAGAACTCATGTGGCATCGTTTGCCGTAACTTTCTGTCTAGCTCACTGAACAACGTGTCGCCATGTCCCACATGCAGCGTGCTGCACTTCACATACAGCAACTCTTCATACTTGCAATTTTCACAGCTGTTCTTGTGTACATCATTTTCGGTGGTGACACGTCTGATTTGTGGTGAGCGGCTCGTCACCATGTCCCCCTAGCATTCTCTCCGCTCAGGTCTCATGTTGTGAAGGTAAAGACTGTCGGTTGGGCATCCATCGCTTATTCGGTGTTGTTCATTCTGTTGATAGAGTGGTGGATACAACTGAAGGCTGTCAGAGTGATCGGACCAGTAACCGTTGGGCTCTATCAAGTGTGATTTCAGCGGGGTCTCCTTCAGCAAAGATGTCGTTCACTCGTTCAGGTTCTCCAGCCATGCTGCTGTTTTCTACTTAGTCATATTATTCTCGAGGAAAGATATCACATACATCAACTGATAGGAGCAGCGCTAATGTGCATCGCACTCGCCATCCACTGCTATGGTCAGTTCGAAAGATACGCCAATGAGGTAAGGTCCTATTCTGGACACCTATTATGATGGTTCGCCAGCAGGGGTTTCCCAGCCGAGGGAATCGTCGTGCCCCACGTTCACGTCCGCAACGAGCAACAGTAACCAACGACAGCTCGAAGAGACCGCAGAAAATCGCTATTAAAAAGCGCGCTGCAACTGGCATATGAGGAGCTCTGATAACATGCATCATCATGCACGTGCATTATTACTCCAGTGTTTCGCTATGTGTCTCCATGGAGTTTCGTGCAAAGTATGTAAACCGCGATAAGATGAGATGTAGCGTCAAGAAATAATAAAGTGACATACCCACTACCGCTAAGATAGCAAGCCAAGTCTGTGAAGTCAGACGATGTGAACAGTTATCCAAAGAGCAAATCCCGTTTACAATTGTGGTATAAATTGACGATAATGCAGAACGAACTCGTTTGCTGCACAACCTCCGTGGGACAAGCCTATACGTTCCTTCCGAATCGGGTGGTGAAGAAAGCAGTGGCTCCCGGATGAAGGTTTGGCCGGTCGGGCTCGACAGGTGTGTCTATAAACCATCTCGGCCGAGTGATCAAACTATGACAAGGTGGGAAAGGAGGGAGAAATACGGCATGACAGATGCTATTCCCACGAACCTCGACAGTGAACTACTTTCGAGGAGATGAATGTACACTGAGCACGTGGCTGATGCAACACCAGTTTCTAAACCGCCGTCAGAAAGACATCCCATCATCGTATTCAACTCAAGAGGCTCTTGTATTTGTAAACGATTCGTTGACTGTACATATTTAGTACAATGAAAGTTGCTGCTTAGTTTAAACAAGAGGCTTACAATGATAAAATATAGCAACACAAGAATAGCAACCGCGTTTGACAGAGGGCGGAGGGGCGACCAAGAAAAACTCCACAGCTCGGCTCATCGAGGCCTATTGCCATTCACACTCAGCCATTCATTTTACTCTTGAACGACTGTGTGAGGCCCTGGATGGCCAATTTATCGTTTGCGTTGAGAATGCCATCCTCCTGAGACACAGAGCTCATCCTACTTGTGGGAGAACTGGACTCACCTTCTCCTGTTCTTGTTGTAGCCGCTTCACACGACGATTCACCTTACGCAGTTGATCCTTGTTGTCACCAACCATCCTGTTGTTGCGTTCAATCTACCCAATACCATCACTTGCCTGCAACTCGAATCCGATAAGGCACTCACCTGTCCTTGGAGATCAGTAGCTAGCTCGTCCTGCCTCTGTGATTGAGCTTGGATCTTCTCCGCATAGGTCTGAGGGACCATACTAAGGGTGACACTTGCCCATGGTGTCACCACTCACTCTAACTTCACCAATAGAACTACGAATCTGGTCCAAATCTCGGTCAACATCGTCAGAAAACGTTGAGCTGTTTGCAGATGATAACTAAAGGGGAAGATGAAGGATTCTCAAACCGGCCATAACCATATGGTTTACCTCATCATCGTCCACTGGCCGAGTCTTGAGCCCCAACTTCTCTCTATAGTTTGTAGCGTCCGGCTTCTTAGAAAGCGCCTTATTAACAGGCTCTACGCCCACTACTCCCGCACGACCACCAGGCATCACATCAACGTCATCATCCGCTGAGGAGTCTGATGCACAACCAGGCCACATCAGCGATAGTTACTGCTACTCCTACTACCATCTTGCAGAGACAAATCGTCAAGATCATCCGCCAGCGACGAGTCGTCGTCAGAGTATTCTGGCTGCTTCGGTTTTTTATTCTTCTTTCCACCCAGCCTACCCCACAACAGAGACTGACCAAGCATAGTCCGCTCAGTGTTATTACCACCAAGGCCTCTTCTTAGCCTTTTCCTCGGCCCGCCGTTTGGAAGCCAAAGCCTTCTTCTTCCTGTTGATTTTCTTCTGCTTGTCAATCATGGCCTTAGCCGCCCCTAATGACAGTTGATAAGTGGCGTCACTCTTCAAGAGAGATCAATAGTCTACCAAGCTCCTCTTCATTCCTGTTGTTCCACTCGACCGGTGGAGGCTTGTTGTCCTTGCGGTTATAGAAGAAGAGACGAGTGATCCAATTCCGGTTCATATCGTCGACCACACCTCGACTTTTCCTAACCAGAGTTCACACTGAGCGAATACGACGACCTCCCCCAATGATCAGTTGGTATCCTACTGAAGATAGTCTTCAACATCAGCCGCATCTCCCCTTATGCGCTGCATCTGTTTAGTCTGATCCTCCATAGTGGTTACCTGTTGAGCCCATCACTATTGCAGTAGCTGCTACCATCAGACAGTAGCCTACCGTCTTGGATCCAACCTCCTTGGTCTCCTCCAGCATGCGCTTGGTACGCTGCAGTGACGCCTTTGTTTGGTTACGGGTCTTACGGATATTCCTAATCGATCACATCAACTACCCTCACTACTTCAAATATCCATAGTACGCTTCGACTTTGGACGCCTCAAACTCGTCATCACTGCCGACCTTATCTTCTTCATCCTCTTGTTGTTTAGTACCGAATAACTCTGCCCTTTTTTCGTTGTCCTCTGACATTGTAAAAATCCAATAGAAGCTACCAAACGCTATGCGTCTCCACCATTATTGCAGCCACCGTAGTATATGCGTTGTTCTCTACGTTACGCCACCAGTTTATCAGCTTACTTTCGATTCAATTTACTCATATAGGTGAAACTGTCTTCATACAAGACATCCTCCCACTCCCCTGATAACACGCGCAAATTCCTTATCGATCACCATGGCGCGCGCGAAGTGGCGAATTCCCATCCTCATGTTCGACTCCACAGACGCCGTATGCTTTGAACGCCTATCTTATAGTTACCGTAGAAGCGTCTTTGTTTATTGACCATGAGGTTCCTTGATCTGGTCCGTCCGGCGATGTTCCTCATGCCTGAGGTGGCTTCGCCAGACAGACGAATCCCATTCAAGGAGAAGATACTGTGGACGGCTATGGCATTGTTTATTTACCTTGTCTGTTGCCAAATACCGCTATATGGAATTGCAACTAACAAGAACGCTGATCCCTTCTATTGGATGCGTGTCATTCTAGCATCCAATCGAGGGACTTTAATGGAGCTTGGTAAGAAGGGGTTAGGACGCACTATAGAGAGCTCTACGGTGGCTGTAGGTATCTCACCAATCATCACATCGGGTATGGTAATGCAACTTCTCGCTGGCTCTAAGATAATCGAGGTCGACCAGAGTTTGAAGGAAGATCGTGCCTTGTTCAACGTGAGTGTTTCCTCTTCCTAATGCTTCTCAAATGCCTCGTTCAGGGAGCTCAAAAGTTATTGGGTATCCTCATCACACTAGGAGAGGCAGCAGCTTATGTGATGTCTGGCATGTATGGTGATGTTACCGAGATTGGTGCGGGAAATGCTCTCCTCATTATGATCCAGCTTTTCTTCGCTGGCGTTATCGTACTCCTGGTAATAATAACACGTTACACGTGCTACCCGCATCTTTCAATGCTGTGTACTTCACTTCAGCTCGATGAATTACTGCAGAAAGGCTACGGTCTGGGATCGGGAATCTCCCTATTCATTGCCACTAATCTCTGCGAAAATGTTATCTGGAAAGCCTTCTCTCCCACGACGTTGAATACGGGCAAGGGTAATATTCCATCAGTCCAGCGTCACTAGTAGTCACCACTACATGTGCCAGGCACCGAGTTCGAAGGTGCTATTATCGCTCTCTTCCACTTGCTGATTACACGCAACGATAAGCTTCTCGCCTTGAAGGAAGCGTTCTATCGTTCTACCGCTCCGAATCTGACTAATTTGCTCGCCACTGCCATCGTATTCTTCGTCGTTATCTACTTCCAAGGTTTCCAGGTGAATCTACCCGTGAAGTAAGGGAATAGATTCCGTACCCAACCATTGTGAGGTTCCGATGTCGCAGGTATCAAAAGGTTCGTGGTCAGACGGGCTCGTATCCTATCAAGCTTTTCTACACCTCCAACATTCCCATCATCCTCCAGACGGCTCTCGTCTCCAACTTGTACTTCTTTTCACAAATATTGTACCGAAGGTGAGTAACGAACTCATGACCCTCAGCAGGATGTGGCTCGGCTCAGATTCAAGAATAACATGATTGTTAACCTGCTTGGTCAGTGGCAGGATGTAGATATGGCCGGTACCCAGTCGATCCCTGTTGGTGGTATAGCCTACTATATCTCACCTCCCAACAGCTTCACTGACGCTATCAGCGATCCAATCCATGTCGTCGTGTATGTGACATTTGTGCTCACGAGTTGTGCCCTGTTTGCCAAGACGTGGATTGAGGTCAGCGGTAGCAGCCCTAAGGATGTAGCCAAGCAGCTGAGGGATCAGGAGGTGAGGTGTCCAGCCCCTATGTGACACATCTCTACTTGCCAGATGATCTTCTCTGGTCACCGTGATACCTCTCTATTGCATGTCTTGAATATGTACATCCCCACCGCTGCTGCATTCGGAGGTCGGTCTACTCCTAGGGCGTCTGTCACGCTCGTCAACTGCTCTTTAGGTTTGTGTATTGGTGCTCTCACTATCTTCGCTGATATGCTTGGTGCTATCGGATCTGGTACTGGTATCTTGCTCGCAGGTAAGTAGCAGTAGTGTCGTATCGCCTCTGGCGCGATCGCCTTCACCATGCGTCGCGTTTTACACGGTTCCTTTTACCATTACTCCCATTTAGTTACCATTATATATCAGTACTACGAAACATTGTACAAGGAGAAGGAGCAAGGGAATATGCTCTTCTGAAGTGTGATCATAACAATTGCGCTCTCTGGTATACAGTTTGGACGGAAGCTGAATCGGAGTATAGTTGCCGGTTGCTTCACTTTTCGCTATGATGGATGATGGTGATCGTTTATAAGATGCAACTCCAGAATCGATGTGATAGCGGCTTTTTTCTATATGGACAAGGGACAGCTGTTGTGTCAGTTAGTATTCGGGCGCGCGCTTTTCACATTGAAGATCACACAGCTTTGATCGATTCAAGCTATGAAGTTTTCGTGCCTTGTTGAACAAGTTATCAAACTGTCATTGGACACGCGCTCAAATTGCTCGCTCGCTCGTCATATCGGGCAGTGAGTGCCGCAATGCGCGAAGAGGGAAATGCCTGGTACTCGAGACTTCCTCTTTCCGTCGGCTTTGGTAGTTGTTGCCAACTCGACAGGTGATTTCGAGACATCTCTATTTAACCCAATGCCTATGATGATTATTGTTGTCGCCCCAGGCAGAACAACATGAATGTTGATAACCGCAACTAAGAGTCGTCTCTCTGAGGCTTTTTATGATGTTAGAAATATGTGAATGATGAGAAGTGCTATAACATGTCTCAGGCTATGCCGTTGATGACATGATAGTAAAGTGGTGAACAATCTCTGACATCCATCCTTGTACGATATGATATGATTGATTAATGGTACAATCCGATGTTAAAGACGAACTTGAAGGTACTTATGATCGGTTTATGAAATATGCTATGGAAGGAATGTTGCCCGAATCTGTCTGAATATTGAACTCTTCTACCGAATTCGATGAAACAGTTCCTTATACATCGGGTGTATTAGAAATGCCAGTTATGTTAGATAAAGTCTCAGGATTGACAGCAGCAGGATCTGAGAGCTTCTCTTTACCGCATATCATTCCACTGATACCATTCCCACGCCTGCGAAAAAGATAACGTGCCTGGTGATGCAAGAGAGTCGTACCATGCGACGACCACAGGGTCTGTGCCGAACATCATCATCGGCAGAAGACACTGCGTTGCGAAATTGAATTTAGCCCGTTCTTCCTGCGGTGTGTTGGAGGGTAGATCCAGTCTCCATGGACACTCAGAGTCACCACAGGTAGCAGTAGGGTTGTTGGGGAGGCAAACGATGCAAGCTGCAGAACAGACCTTAGACGCTATATCGGCAGCGGCATGACGGAACACCTAAAGAGGTTCGTAGAAGCGGTCGGTGTGATGCTGTGTAGTATGCCTTGATCCATGGTTGATTTTGAGGTTCCTCGCTGCCCGTGCACGGTGAAAGGCACACCAGGACGGGTTTCCCACCGTTTTCTCCACCGACAGTCATTCGAGCAACTCTGCTGAAGTTCACCAGAGGCACCTTCAGAGACACAAGCCGCTCTGCAGTCAGCGAAGTTGCGCCATCATCAGCTTCATCAGAAGGTGATGACCTGACCAGGGACAGGTCTCATGACCCATCAACGAGGGGATTGCCGCCGTACTGGTGGAAATCTCCTTCTGGCCTGGACAGACCAGTACCATCAGGGCTCCTCAATGATTTCTCTACCGCCGTATGGATCGTCAATCTAGTAGTGAACGCCTGATAACGAACAGACATAATGAATGCCAAGAGACGTAATAGACACGCTCACCTGACCGTCCTGACCAGGGACATGTAACTGACACACTACGGTGGGCTCAATACATGCACCCTGGAAGCTCTCAACACACACCCGCCGTGGACAGGTCTTATTGTGTGTGCTCCCAGGGGCCGAGCCCACCGATTCGGCGAGCGAACGAAGAAAGACGTCCCAAGGTGGATGCAGATCAACTCACTTGGGCATTAGCTGCTTCTAGATCCGCCCTCAGCTTGGCCTGCCTCGCCTTTTCAGCTCGCTCTCGATTCGCACAACATCCACCATGATCATGAGAGGCATCATCTCCATAGAAAATTGAGTCCATCAGTGAGATAATCGACTAAGCTGTGGAGAACAGGGTACCACCAGGACTGAACCCGGACACAGTACTGATGTGAAACACTGTACTCATTTTGAGTCTCTTTGCTTTATCGCTGCCAACCACTCAGCCAGGCTCGATGCCGGCCTCGACCAAACAACATCAAAGCACCTTGTCCTTCAATGCCACACGAGAAGCCCAGAGTCGTCCATACTGACGACACTGGCAACGGTTGCCTCCTCATAGTAGCACAGAATAGGGTGGCACGCGGAAGGAAAAATAGAAAAATTATTTCCTTCGGAAGGAAATTTGAAATTTGAAGGAAAAATGAAGGAAAAATACGGAAAAATAAGGAAAAAGAGAATTTTTCGCTTGGCCTGCCAAAGTTTGGCAGGCCAGAGAGTCACTATCTTATTCAATCAAGCTGCTGGCAGATGATTTGCACTTACTAATCACGTTCCAAAGTCTGATTAACTGTGACTGACTCAGAACCACACTGGAGGAGACCAGGGCGTGCGCTAAAGTTAAGCGGTTGAACATGCGCGTTTTCCATTGGAATGTTTCCCATGACTAAAGCTGTCGTTGAGCGTTACTTGATTGATTCATTGATGGTTGCGTCCTTTTGTTACCATCACCCACTCTTCCTCTGTGTTCTATCGTCTTCATCATGGTGCATTAAACATACCATGATGGACCTGTGTCAAAATACACTGTATTTTGTTGCAGTTGACAGTTGTATAACGCTGGGTCATTTTGTGTTTCAGTGCAATTTTCAACCTTACACTATGGGGCGACGTCCCACCCCGGGAACACTTAATTGCCGGAGACACATCCATAAGAGGTAATGTGGGAAACCGAAGACATTATGGGGATGCGTCTCTTGGATTAGGTATGAGCACGCAATGAAGGATGGTGAGCTGAAGAAGATCCCGGTATGGTACTGTGAATTCTGTGAGTAACACCAAATCGTGAATTTCATCAGTACTCAAACAATCACACACGGTTCAAGCGTCACATGCTCACGGAGTGCCCAGAGAAGATGAGGTTCGCCGATTGGCTCCCTCCGAGCACGGTACAGCCAAGGAAGCGAAGGGTATCGGCAACCGGTAGAGAGCGCGAGACGTCAAGTATGCCAAGCCGACCAGATGTTGCCCAGCGACCTTCTTCTGCCACACTTGATGGGCCATCGTTGCTAAATGCTCAGTCTCCGAAGCATTTTGAAACGGCTGACGAGGCTGTCGCGTCTTCCAAAACTCGAAGAACTCACTCTCCCATCGGGCCGCTGAAAATTACTAATTTCTTAACCCCTGGTCCCTCTGACAGTCTGGGCAAAGCCTTTGTCGAAGAACTCGTTAAGCTGGCACTTTGCCAGCTTAACTAGAAAAAAAAATAGCACAGGGTGCTTCACAATACAAGACAAAAAGGGAACAATGTCCAAGGGGGTGGGGAGGGGGTTTCTAACAAAATGTGCGACTTTTGCAAAAGCCAGCAGCACCCTAAGGACTTCCCGGGCGGTCCCCCACCCCAGTACTATCCGGGCCTTGCGCCGCTTAACTTCGGAGTTCGCATGGGATCCGGTGTATTCGACGCAGTATGGCCGCTGGCGATCATAAAGTTGACCAAAAAGCCAAGTTACCCCCAACCGCGCACACCCAAATTTGGACAAGTCGAGGATTTTCAACCCATAAGGTATGATCCTCCATCCAACTTCAAACCCTCACAGGGACACTATACCGCGATCCAACTCTACCGTGCCCCATACCAGAGCTCTCAGAAGCTCTTGAGTGTGGAGTAATCCGCCTTTTTAAATCGAGTCCGTAGATGGAAATAGAATAGGAGGAGACAAATCGGCGCAACACGGGATGAATCTCAGTGGATCGTAAGACTAAGCCTACTCTCAACACTTACAATACCCGGATGCAATTAAGTCGTCTTCAAAGGATTTATCGAGCCCAATACTTGCAATTGCTATGATCACCATACACTCCGACCACAAGTCAATGCAGCCAGAGGTATAGCAGCTTGAATTTTGGTCAGGCCGAAGCCTGACCTAGCCTTTTTCTTGTAGCATTGAGCACGGTGTACAACACTGCTTATCCAGCATGGATTCCGGCTTAGAGGCGTTCAGCCGTAATCCAGCAGATGGTAGCTTCGCCGTACTGTCTTTTCAGACAACGGCATTAACCAAGTATCTGGACGAAGTGCTCCTCTCGTACTAACTTCGACTACTGTCGCAGTATCTACTTTGTCAGTAGGGTAAAACCAACCTGTCTCACGACGGTCTAAACCCAGCTCACGTTCCCTATTGGCGAGTGAACAATCCGACACTCTGCGACTTCTGCGTCTCAATGATAGGAAGAGCCGACATCGAAGGATCAAAAAGCAACGTCGCTATGAACGCTTGGCTGCCACAAGCCAGTTATTTAATTAACGTAGCCTTTTGACGCGTTTATAAAGCGACATGGTTGAAAAGGAAAAGTTTACAATATTTGTTAGAGTAACGATAGTTACTCATAAGAACAACTTATAAATACAATAACTAAAACATTCAAAAATACATGACTGTTGAAGTTGAATAATTCAACTAGAATAAATCAATGCAACATAAATTAAAATATGAAATACTCACTGTAATGAACCTAAATAGGATATAAAATGAAATAATGCTACAATATTTACTTTATTATTCTCCATCTTTTTTTTCTTTTTGAACCTGAATAACATATAGAATAAAATAATGTTACAATAGTTACTTTTTTTATCATCCATCCTTTTTTTCTTTTTATCACTATTTGTTTTCATGATTGTACCATTCTACATGAGAAAAATATAAAAATAACACATAATTACTTACATTGATTTTTTTCCTAGTTGTATCTTTTTAACTTCCAACAAGTGTACCACTGCTGCAAAAACAGCAGACGAAGTGTCAATGGTAGTAGTTTTCATCATTGAACAATACTGCAAAACAATGTAACCTGTGAATATACTAAATATTCAATTTTAAAATTCTACCAAAAAGACAAAACATTAAAAATTTAGAAACACACCTGAAATCAACAAAGCAAAACAATATTTAAAGCAAACCAAAAATAAACACAACACTAGAAACTTAGAGACACAGCCAATTATAATCGAAATCTTCCGAGAAAAAAGACAACATTAAAAATTTAGAAACACACCTGAAATCAGCAAAGCAAAAAAATATTTGAAGTATACCAAAAATAAACACAACACTAGAAACTTAGACTCTAAGTCTTAGAGACACAGCCAATTATATTCGAAATCCTTCCGAGAAAAAACACAACATTAAAAATTTAGAAACACAACTAAAATCCAAAAAATAAAAAAAACATTTGAAGTATATCGAGAATAAACACAACACTAGAAATTTAGAAACACAGCCGATTGCATAAACTAACTACTATGACGGAACTTAATATGTTGCTGTAACCTTTTATTTGACGTACATTTTTTGGTACACAGCAAACAAGCGAATAATTGCGCCTAAAGTAATATCTAAAAAGCGAAATCACAAGAAAAATTACCTTCTTGGTAACCTTCGCAGTACGACACTTTCTAATACCATTAACATACAACTTGGGTCTTCCTCGACCTTGAAAGATCACGATAAACCACAAGATAGTGTGGAAGATATCACACATAGTTACCCCTTTTTTTCATAACAACATCATGATTATTACTATTGTTCACATTTTCAGTACCTAAAAAGCATGCAAACATGTATCGACATATATAATTCTTACATTTTGTGCGGACTGTTCACGTATGCAGATTTTGTCAAACAGAAATGATTACAATATTCGATAAGCGATTTGTGACTATAATTAAGAAAGTTTTCCCAAATCCAGGTAATTTTGTAAAAACTTGAAAATACGTTCAAGACTCCACAGTATGAAATCGTTTTTTCCTCGAAAAGACCTACATCTTGTGCGGACTGTTCACGTATGCAGATTTTGTCAAACAGAAATGATTACGATATTCGATAAGCCATTTGTGACTAAAATTAAGAAATTTTTCCAAAATCCAAGTTATTTTGTAAAAACTTGAAAATACATTCCAGACTCCGGAGTATTAAATCGTTTTTCCTCGAAAAGACCTACATTTTGTGCGGACTGTTCACGTATGCAGTTTTCGTCAAACAGAAATAATTACACTATTTGATGAGCGATTTGTGACTATAATTGAGAAATTTTCCCCTAAATGTAAGATGAAATAATGCTACAACATTTACTTTTCTATCATCCGTTTTAATTCCTTCTTATCGTTGTTCTTCTCATGATCGTACCTTCCTACACAAGGAAAATATAAAAATAACATGTACTCACTGGCCTTACATTTATTTTTTCCCAAGTTGCACCTTTTTGACCTTCAATGGATGTACTACTGCTGCAAAAACAGCAGATGAAGTATCAATGGTAGTATTGACACAACGTGCAATATTCTGTCAAGGTTAACTGTTCGCATCGTTCAACTGCTTGGCCGTATCCAAAATTAATCGACACAACTTGACCTAACACATACATAAAAACGTAGAATGATTAGACATACCTTACTTTATTGTTTTTCCAGTTTATTAGTCCATCCGGTGTACTTAAACGTAATCTTCCTGTATTAATCCACTAAAAACCACAGTAAAAACATAGTAAAACACTAACCTACCTTAATGACAATCCTCACCAGAGTCTCATCCTTCAACATCAGAGTGCACTTCACCATATTCAAGAAAAACTACAACAAAGAAATAATCCCTCTTACAAACAACGAAAAAGCTACGATTATTCGCCTCGTTAATCGATTTCAAGTATCGCAGAACCGTCACCAGGAATCGAACCCATAACCACCTGGATATCAAACGAAAAACTCAACCACTACATTGGAGTTTCACCCGTTTTACGCGAAGTGTTTTTCACATCACGGGTGAAACTCCATTGAATTGGCAACATAATATATATTAACATGAAAAGCATAATGAAAGCAAAACAAAACATTTACCTATGTGTAAAACTTTCATTTTAACAATATTTGAAGAATAATACCTGGATATTTCAATCTCTGCAAAACACTCTGCTTAACCTAGCATGTTATCGTTATCCTAGCGAACAACCATTATATTCCATCTCAACTACCATTCCAGCTGGACCTAGGCTGGTCTAGCTTAGTATCAGCCAAGACGAGTAGACTCTCTTTGACAACCACCCTAAGTGAGCAATGAGTATTGGGTTTGGACCCGGAACTATGAGAATAAGAGCCTGACCGAGTATCTAATAAACCAAAGTCTCTACTAAAATATTTATAAGACTGCAACATCCATTTATATGTAAAACATTCTTTTAAACAATATTTGAAGAATAATATTTCAACCTGAGTAAAATATAACATGAAATAATGCTACAAGACTTACTTTCTTCCCTTCCTAATTTTTTTCTTTTTTCCATTCTTCTTTTTCATTATTACGCTATCCTACTAAACAAAAAAATGAAAAAAATAACAAATATTAACTTACATTTTTTTGTAAGTTGCACTTTCTTGACCTTCAGCAACTGCTGTAAAAACAGCAGATGAGGTATCAATAGTAGTATTTTTCATTACTAGACAATACTGCAAAAGAATTCAACTTAAAAATATACTGAATATAATAATATAAATAAATTATTATAATACCAAATATAAATTACTCGTAAAACGAAGTGAATGAAATATAAAAAATGATCGTTAAAGTCAAAAATCCCAAGGAAAATATTTTAAATACATAACATCATTGTAACTGGAAATTTAGAAACACAGCCAAATTACCTAGACGAACTACAATGATGAAACTCAATATGTTGTTGTAACCTCTTATTCGATGTTCGTTTTTTATTACACAGCGAGCAACCAAATAATTGCTCCTGAGATAAAAAACTAAAAATCATAATCACAGCCAAATTTACCTTCTCTGTAGGTTTAGCAGTACGGCACTATCTGAAGTCATTGACACATAGCTTAGGTCTTCCTCGACCTTGAAAAATTACAATAAATCATATGATATGTCACATTCATTTACCTCTCTTTTTAGTACTAACATTGGAGATGCACCCGTTAAACGCCAAATCGCGTTATTCACGATGTGATAAACGCGAAAAACACGAAGTGATAATCGACTTTATCACATCGCGAAAAAACGCTACTGAAAACCGCCTTTTCGCGAAAATCACGCATCGTATATCGCGCTATCTCACATTATGTGATATATCGCGTTATCGCGCTCTATTCACAGCCGAAACCAGGTAGTAACTGTGGTTTTCGCATATATCGTATGTAAGAATATATGCAACTTCCGCGGCTCAAATCTGGTTCTTTCTCATGAAAACCTTGGATCTTCCCCAACTCGACTGCATCATCTTTTTCAAATCGTGATCCGGAAAGGTATTACGTGCGAAAGAAGGGTGAACGAACAATATCTGCACAGCAAAGATACTAGCAAATTGAACAGTGGTCAATTCAAATCCAAACAATCGTAAAGTATTCAATATTTTATGTTTATCACTTAGAGTTTTTCCTTTTCAAATGACTATCTCGAATATTGCGAAGCAAGGTCCGTTTCCAGAGGCACATTCACTTGAGGCACATAAAGGATCACTTGACCTACACGGAGATCGTTGTATTGGAAATTTGGAAGCACGAGAACTTCAAGCGCACGTCAGACTAATTCTGCATGTATCGTTCTCGTATATGTCCTGTTCAAGGGGGCCATTTTTGCTTCGAAATACGATCACGTGCCCGGACAAAAAAATAACGTCTCCTTCCACTGATGATATGAGATCGCAAGAAGTCTGGTGGATCCAAGCACCGCTCTAATCAATCGATGCTTGGAAGATTGGGCTGCGGTGAGCTCTTCTGTCTGGAAATAGTGTCTAAAACAACAAACAGCGCATAACCTTCTTGTTCGACAGGCTCGAGGTTGTCCTATCACGAGTACAACGCCTACCTCGTAGCCTACGAGGTTCTCG